ACGCCCCCATCTCGCAGTAGGTATCAGTCGCCATTTCTCTACGTATCTATCGCTGCCAACTCACTGTTGGCCAGCATCTCAACGTAGGTATCAGTCACCGTTTCTCTAGGTATCGATCGCTTCTTACACACGGTACCCCTGAATCTCACAGTACTTATCAGCCACCATTTCTGTACGAATCGCTCGCTGCCAACATGCGGTACACCAGCATCTTACAGTACTTATCAGTCAACATTTCAGTACCTATCCATCGCTAGCAACACATGGCTGGCGGGCATCTCAACGTAGGTATCGGTCACCATTCCTCTACGTATCGATCGCGAGCAACACACGGTACCACTGCATCTGGCAGTACTTATCAATCACCCTTTCTGTAGGTTTCGATCGCTGCCAACGCGCGGTACCCCCGCATCTCACAGCACCTATTAGTCGCCATTTCTGTACGTATCGATTGCTACCAGCTCACGGTAGGCTGGAATCTCCAACTACTTATCAGTAATCATTTCCCTACGTATCGATCGATTTCAACGCACGGTACGCCTGCATCTCACAGTACTTATCGTTCACCGTTTTTGTACGTTTCTATCGCTACCAACGCACGGTTGGCCTGCATATCAACGTATGTGTCAGTCATTATTTCTCTACGTATCGATCGCTACCAACACGGCACCCATTTGTTTTTGGCTAATTATTAAAAACGCCTCAATCCGCATTTGAGGTATTTAAAGAATAATTTTTAATGTTGAACCCCGCGAAAATATCGTCATTGTCGGTTCCACTCGCTCTGTAAATGCACTTACTGTGAACTAATACTGAACGCGTAATTGGCATGTGGAATGAATGTTATGGTACTGGTGCTGCTCGAACATAGTCAGCTTTCGAATTGAATGCAACATTGTTCGAATGAAAAACCTCACTCGAAACTTTCTTTTTCACACTAAGGCAGACCGCTGCCGAATAACTATCCGCCAACGATGAATAGTCTTCGCATTATTCTTCGTATTTTTGTTGAGCAAACGCGAGGTGTTATTATTCTTTATTCACAAATGAGCTGACGTTTCGGCGGATTTCGCTTTCCTCAGAGCCTGGAAAGGTCAAGTTGACAGCAATCTACTTGGCCAGACGCCTCCATAACCAAACAAAGAAACTCTAAACCAAGATTTTAATCACATTGAACACAGCTTTGCACACTCACCGCTTTCTATGAGGTCTCCACTAAGTATGTCACGTAGAGACCAACCGCACAGAAATCACATGGAAGTATAATGTACCCCACTCATCAGAATAGCAGTCTTATATACTGCCCTACATCACGCGTGATAATGAGGCATTCTTCCCTGCGGTTCATTTTCGGATTTCTGGAGTCCAGAGTGCCTCGAGAGTTTTTCGCGCCTGTTAGGCCTCCAGACAACTCTAGCGATAGAAGGGTCCCGTTTATCCTACCCTTTATCTCAAATGATATAAGTACAGCTATAAAACGCTGCTTAAGAAGGGCGGGTTTAGAGAATTCGGTACGCGTAGTTGAAATACCACCGAGTAATCTTAAGCGCCAGCTAGTTCGAAACCGCCTATATGACCGTCTATGTGCAACTCAAAACTGCATAATTTGCCCCAGTGGTAGAGACGGTGATTGCATGAGCTCGGGTATAGTTTATCTGATCTCCTGTAAGACGTGCGGTGACGAATACATTGGCGAAACGGGCAGACCCCTCTGTGCCCGCATAAAAGAACACCTAGCCGGCAAACATAGCCCAAATACTCCGCTAGGCACGCATAGGACCCAGAGACATAACGGGGAAGACTTTGAAGTATGTGTCACGACCCTTGCACGCGAATCAAGAACACAGACGCGAAAAACTCTCGAGGCACTCTGGATTAATTCCAGAAATCCGAAAATGAACCGCAGGGAAGAATGCCTCATTATCACGCGTGATGTAGGGCAGTATATAAGACTGCTATTCTGATGAGTGGGGTACATTATACTTCCATGTGATTTCTGTGCGGTTGGTCTCTACGTGACATACTTAGTGGAGACCTCATAGAAAGCGGTGAGTGTGCAAAGCTGTGTTCAATGTGATTGAAATCTTGGTTTAGAGTTTCTTTGTTTGGTTATGGAGGCGTCTGGCCAAGTAGATTGCTGTCAACTTGACCTTTCCAGGCTCTGAGGAAGGCGAAATCCGCCGAAACGTCAGCTCATTTGTGAATAAAGAATAATAACACCTCGCGTTTGCTCAACAAAAATACGAAGAATTACTTGATCAATGCCGAGGTTAATAGAAAGTCGGTCGTGGGAGTCTTCGCATAGACAATTTATCTTCCAATGGACGGTATTACGTCTTCTGACGCATAGCGGTCGACATTCATTCAGTCTTAAAGGATAAAAGATAAAGCGATTCAGCGTTGATCAATCGCTGAAGGATGCACCATGCATTCGACTTCATCAAGCGTCGTTTGGAGGTGATTCAATGCATATTTTAGTTTCGCAATGGCTCGCGGTGGCCTGCCGATGTATCGAGCCAGTGCTGCTACCCTCCCAGACAAGTGTGGCACCAATTTGCTCACCTCGTAGGGATAGAAGGATTGGTGGGCCATTTGCTCTGGGATCGATTCCACGTAGGTGTCGCAATGGCGTCTCCAACCACTGCGCCACACTCGCCTGCGTACTCAGTCTTAGCACGCATAATCAATGTTTTTGTTCTATTCACCATGTCTAAGACAGACATGCTAGACGTTCTCGGCTTTTTCCCACATGTAGTGATTTGCGCTTGCGAATTCGAAGGTAGATTGCTGCTTTGCGACTTGGATTCTTTTACGACGGCAAGGATTTCTGCATGTAGTCGGTCGACTGCTCGAGAAGTCATGGCAAGCCAAATTTTTTAGCAATCGCTGTTAATGGATGGTTTGTTACTGTCTCTCTATATATTGATTTAATTATGGTCTCACTTCATTATTTAACATAGGGTTTTAACCATTCAGGCTTAGGACCACCTACTGAAGAAACCAAAAGTTCAGTATGAAGAATATAACCGAAAGTTAGCCATACCAACTGCTTCATTTCTAGTATAAATAATTATGTGACATGTTTTGAATAACAAAATTACGTGAAATTACGTGTATCACCTTTTGTGCGTCGTTTTGTGAATTTCATGTGTAGTTGCCAACTTTTCGGTCTACTTGCGAGAAATCGGGTAGTGACGCGTAAGTATGTGATCACGTTCTCACGAAATACGTCTCCATTTAGGTAAAACGATTGGTGGAAATTAGAAATTCTAAACATTCGTGGAAGACGTCGTCAGGTGACTGTAGTCTCGATAAATCCGCAAACTAAGCCTCGTTTTTCCAGAAAGTGCTTATAAATTGTAAGAAATATTCATTAAGTGAAAGAATATAATGTTTCTGTTTGTGCTCTTTGTATAACTGGAACTGGAACAAATACGATTGTAAGAGTGGAAGAGAAGAAGGCATTCAAGTGACACTGTTGACAGTGATGTGTAAAATCATGCATTTCACTCTGCGCAATATTTTCCTAAGGCGAGAACACCATGACTTTCTTGCACATGCAACAAACCACCAACAAGAGTACTTGTAATGTTAGTAATGCAATTCGAGTAGATAGAATGATATGAACGCGGTTGATGCCATTTAGTGATAACGGTATCGGGGACATATAGTGCAGATCTTCAACGAGCAGCCCTCAGTGTGAAAATGTCCGCAGCGTCGAACGGTCGTTCGAGGAGATCTTCTATTCGAAATTTTATCTCGGTAAGTCTGGTTTTCCTTTGAGTTGATGAGTATTTCAGTTAATCGGTAGTTCTCTTGAACAGTACCGCTTTAATGAACTTTCCTATTCTTCTGCTTGCGTAGCTAAGTGCGTCTCACCGTGCTCATTTGGAAGCTGTATATTGTTTGGCAACTCCAAGCGTGAAGTTTCGTCTGTTTTGCAGAATTGATCAGTTCTTAACGTTTTCATAACTGAAACGTCTAGAATCTGTGGTTTTGAAGCAATTACCGTACCCATGCGCTTCCAAAAGATTGCTGTCTTGACGTGGCTTATGAATTTTGCTTAGCAATGTCTTACATTGTATTCTTTTTTTTTTGCTAATGCTTTCTGATTCTCGTTTTTACCTTTTAGTTTATCACTCTAATAAGGGGTCTTCTTTTCATTCATCTTTCAGACGATTCCCATTTTCCGTTCCACCTCCGCTGCTCAAGGTAACACGGCGAAACTTGATGATGGAACAAACCCAGCTTGTTACGAATTGGCTAAAAAAGGAGAAGTCCTATGTCGTGAATGCAAGTTCGATGACGGTCAGTTTAGCCCGGCTTATTCTTCTTCGTCCACCGTCAGTTTAACGTCAGTCGTTCTTATTCTGAAATTCCAACTAGTTTTGAATTTAGCTATTCCAATACTCCTGGAGGCACTGGCATTAGGAAGTGAAGAACCTTCGATACTGTCCCCTATATATTCACAGTTGGGGCACTCATACCACACAGTTGGTGATTTGCCAAACGCTTATAAATACCACTGCTGCGAGGTTGTAGCTTCAAGGCACGTTTTATTTGTTTTCTTTCATTTGTATTCTATTCACTTATGGAATCGCTTGTAGACTAAGGAACGATCAAGCCAAAGAGAGTCGAGCATGTGGCAATGTAGGCGCTGTACTGAGTGATCAGAATTTATTTGATGAGGCACTCATGTTCACCAATGGACAGATTGCAATCGCCACCGCAATAGGAGACACGGCATCGTCTTAGTTTTAGGTCTAATATTAATTAGCGTCACTTAATCTCGCAAGTTCTAGGATTGTTTGGCAGATGGTTTCTACAGCCTTGCGGCCATCTACGTACGTCGAGCCAAACAAATGGTAAAGAAAGTGAACGTTAGTGGGGAAGTTATCTCTCGGCAATATGGCAATATGCATTTGTGCAGCAATACGACGATTTCCAGAGACAAGCCAAAAAAAGATGTATATTAGAAGATGAGAGTACGTTTACTGAATCTAGCGAGAATTTGTCGTCAGACTCTTCTTATACTAGAGATTTGAATGAGGCTATGTCTCTCTATCGGTTAGTTCTTTCTTTGTTTCCGGCATGTTTTTAGTGTTTCGACCTATTTTGTTTCTTAGCGTTTTATTTCCAGAAAATGCGCTCCTGCGTATAGAAGCTTGAAGGATGCCCCTGCATGTGGTCGCGTATATGGGTGTCTGGGCAATGTCTTGCATTTGCTCGGTGATTATACGCGAGCACTATTCTATCATGAAAAGGCAAGTTGTTCAACATTTCCGCTTTATACTCCTTATAGTGGTTTGTTACATTAGTTTTTTCTTTCCTTATCCGGGGCGTTCTTTGTTTTCCATTTCTTGTATTTTAAGCGACTGTCAATTGCTTCCGAATTTGATGACAAGGATGCTAAATATAGAGCTTACATAAATATCGGAAACGCACATCTTCGTCGGCATAAGGGAAATTCAGCAATCAGATATTACCAGTATGTTCAGTCCTTGCAGTATTTCATTGCAGTTTTTTTAAAGCAGATTTAATCCGTCTTTTGACCACAGGTCAGCACTGGATCTTGCACTAGAAGACTCCAATAAGACGAGAGAGTCTAAGTGTTGTTTCTGTCTTGCGAACGCGGCATATGACATTGGAGACTACTATAGAGGTATAATTTGCTTTTTGTATAAGAGCAAAGGTTCGATTACGTGATGGTATACAGTTTTTTTAAACTTATTTCGAACAATTAATTTCAGCCCAAGAATATTTTCTTCGTAGTATGGCCTTAGCTCGAGAGCTAGAAGATTTTACAATCATGTTTCACGCATACAGTGGGTTAGCTAGAGTTTGTACGAAGTTCGACGATTACCCGAAGGCTGCGTATTTTTTGGCATGTATCCGAGCACTGGCTGTGCAGGTCAGTACTCAGTTATCGAGAAACAGTGTTGACACAGCATGGCAGTACAGTCAGAGAGATTAGTGTGGTTTTACAACGATTCTGCCAGTAGCTGACTACATTGCGCCCTTACATCCACTCTTTTCATTCGTAGATTGCGCTGTTCTAGTACTTTTAGCTACCTCTGTTGTTTGCTTGTTTGCTTTATGTCGTGCCGACACTATAGGTAAAAATTGATGCGAATTGGGAATCAGTATGGTTTATTCCAAATTTGCCTGGAAAATTCTATTTATTGTGCTACTGTACGGACCACTGGGACCATTTGTATTAGGAGATTCTACGTTTTCATAATTTTTTTGCCGTAATCGTTTGTTTGGAGCTTTGATTATTCGTTAAAGTAAATGTTTCAGATCCATGATGAAGACATGGTGACGGCTGCTGTCGAGTCCTTGATACAACTAATAGAGAAACATAGGCATTGTCTTATATCAAGAGATAAAAATGTATGTTTTTGATCTCTCTAGTCGAATTTAGTATTTTTCATGCTGATTAGCGATCTGTAAATGTTGAGCCATCGTAAAAGATACGCTATTACCAATGCCCATTTATACATCAGCTTCTAGATAAACTTTGACAGTAGCAACGATCCGGAGCCACAGTCACACGTCTGCCAAGTGAAGAAAGTGTCAGGATCAACAAATCTCACGTTCACTGATCAACCGTCATCGGGTCACGTGAGTTTTAATAGAACCGCTCAGGAAGAAAGGCATTTTTTAGAGGTAATCACAAGGAATTCTCATTATGCTTGCGTACTTGGAATTTTTCACGTATTAAATTTAGTCAGCGAGTGCAGCACCTAGAAAATCTGAGGATGATTTTATCGATCTGCCTTTGGGTGTACGATCATCGGGTTTGGACGAACAGCGGCGTGATATGCCAGTTGTGCGTTCTAGAGCTCTTGCTGGACGGCGCCAAGCCGATAGCGGAATGGTGACACTGAACGGTTTGTGTTGTTTAATTACAAGTTTGAAAAGCTAGAACATCCAACATTTGAGTTTGCACTGTTCCTGCGAGTTGAAGCGCTGGACAAATTGCTACTTGAAGTAGAGTTCACACTTCCTTTGTCTATCTTGTAACCGTTCGAGTTCTATGCGGCGGCAAGATTCCAGACTCTCTGCGGATTTGTTTACTCGCTGTCGTGGTTGCGACGCCTTCTGATGTGCGCACGTCAAGCACTTCCTTAACATAGCGCGCCACTTAGTGAACAATAGATCCCCAGTTGCGCTTAACCTTAGGTGTTTTTTTGCTCATCCCGTCTTTTTCTCAGAAAAGGTGTCGGAATCGCCATTATTTTTTTTCCTTTTCAGACCTTTTTGTAGTTATGGTTCATCGCAAGGTCTAGTTTTTATAACGAAGCGATTCACAGTTTAACAGAATGTGCGCAAATTGGCTTGCCTTAGTCACCTCTTTTCCATGCGTAATCCATCAATATTCTCGCTGGTATTAATGCTTAAATTATTGAACAACTTGTTCCTATTCTTGGTTATAGGAATAGACTGTTGATAAAGTTTTTCACAAACGATCATTTTTGATCAACACGTGATGCCAAGTGCAAACCGATGTGTGGATGTTTTGTTCTCGTCGGAGTATTTCATGTCTGTTATAGGGAAAGCAAATAAAATACTTGCTGCTTAATATCTTGCTTAGTTGTGGTTTACTACGTGTACCGTGCACGTTTGTGTTCTCTTTTTTATAGATCGCCGACGTGTTTCACGTGGAGAATACTTCGTGTTGCCTCTCCGTCAAGCTTTTAGGACATTATTGCGACCTCAAAGGACTTTTGGTGATACAGGTTGGAGCTTTCGACTTGAGTAGAGCAGACAAAATGTCCAAAAAGCCCAGAGTTCGAACGCTTTTCCAGTGGCGGGGTTACATTTATCAAGAAATTCTCAGTTTTCTTAAAAGAGATGTGAATTTCTACCTATTCCAAAATCAGCTGAGAGACAGGCGAAACAAAGGACCCGCGTGGTGTGGTGGTGAACGCGTTGCTCCCCGGAAAGGACAATAGCGCGTTCGTTCCCTACCATAGACACCTGCCGTCCATTGTTTTGCAAATATCTCAGCAACGTTGTAGTTGTATTTCGCTTAGTACCCTGCCGCTAAATTATAGTAGGCAGAAAATAAAAGGTATAACACTGAATTTTCTGTTCATTTTTGAGTCTTGGAAGAGACAGCGTTCTGTTTTAGTGCGCGCTATACTTTGGAACATTAAGAAAAAGTGTATTCGTTGTTAGAATAAGTTTATTCAATTTCGGTGGGGTTCACTTCTTATTTGCCATTGTGCGGTTGTCCTTGAATTGTAGAAAAAATTCTGAATCTTAGCGAAAGTAAGTTCACATGATCAACGCCTTCTAAAATTTGACGTATGACCGTAGTTTGCGCTATATGTTACATAAAATTAACGACAATGTTTCAATGACTAAAACATTTATTGATTAAAGCACTTAAAAGATTCTCTGAAGAGGAAATTTTAAATTTTCACTCTGGATTCATATTCCTATAAACTGAAATCTGCATTTCGGAAATTTTCAACGCAAACGTGGCAGAAAGGGAGAACTCCAGACGAACGAAATATCGTTTGTTCAATTGCTTCGCTATTCAAAGGACAAAGTTCGGTGAAAAAAAAACATGGATTTGCTGACTTTAGATGGTCCAGGTTTCACTATACCAAAGTAATAAAGTTTGCAGGAAAACTGAGTACTTTTGGCTTAAATAGAAAAACTGCATTCGTTTTTGAGCCTGGTACGTCGCACTATGACAATAGCTACTACAATCGTATAGGTAGATTAAATGGTCGTTAGCTTGGTGGGATAGATGTGTTCCATTGTCTATTACCAGCGTTCTTCCTTTGTTTACGTGTATCTATAAAGTCCAACCGAAAATATTTGTTCTTGCTTACTAGTGTTAAGCCTGCCCTATGCACTCGCCTTTATCAAGAATCGCTAGAGATGAACGACGCATATTTGATATATACAATGATTTGTAGTGGCAGGTCGATGTTCAAACTCAATGTTCTTACTCTCTCAGACAGGTATGGTACCAATTTTCCCAACGCGAAAGGATGGAGGGTATGGTGAGCCTTGGAGCTGTATCAAGGTCGAGCCAGAGGCTGCGTGCGCGCTAACTCTCCCCCCCCCTCCACCTCTCCTGTTATATACGGTGAATGTGTTTGCCTTCTGAATGTTGTATAACACTCGCTACTCATTAGGTCTAAAATATCAATTGAACGCAGTTTGCGTGATACGCTTTCTCTTACTTTTTTTTTTCGTGAAGAATATTACCACTAATTTTGGAAATGTAACTGGTTTGAGGTACAATATATTTAGCAGATTCTTTCATATCCTCTTAGTCATTTTCTCATTAAAAAAAACATGTGGAAAAGAAAACGTCTTCTGTGCATTTGAAAGATTCCGTCAGCTGTTGGGTTGTTTCCACACGCGCAAAACTATTTTGAATTGTTTTGACATCACCGTCAGCGAAATACCTTTGAATAACACATTGGGTGCTATCGTCGAAATACTACAGCTTTGATCTCCGAAATTCTGCTCCCATCGATTTCTGTCGAAGTCGATAAGTTGTGTTAAAGAGCGAGGGATTCCAGTGCTTTGTATAGTGTAATTAAATTATGTTCTTGTAGTGGAGTTAGACTTTAGAAGATCCTGAGTCTCCTATAGATATGGTCTTGAATGGTGAAGCCAGCAGAATGATGAAACAACGAGAAGTGTTCCTCCCTGGTATGAAGGTCAAAAAAGCAACTTCGGAACTTCTCCACAGCCCTGGGTGGGTTGTTTGGTATTTTCATGAAATCCTCCTCGCTTGTTTTCCTCGTTTGCTAATTGTCCACTGTCTTTCTCGCTTTGCCTTTTCACGTCAATTTTAATTGCTGTGAAGCTGATACAAACGAAACAATTTACGTGGGCTCAATTTGCAAACAGAGGTTTTTGAATGATTTTGTTTATGTGAGGAGCGAGGATGATTTCATATTGTTCTCATTCTCAACTGCCTATCTTGACTTTTAACACATTTATTGCGACATGCCAAGTGTTGACGTTGTTGTCTATCTATGGCAGACGCTGTATGAACGTTTATTTTTCTTGTTATCATATCAATGAACAAACAAGAATACTAGTTGTTAAAAATTTCCGCAAATTTTTTGAATTTGAGCATTGTGAAGACGAACCATTACTTTTTCTTCTACAGTGGTAGTTTTATGTTTGATTTTTGGAATAGGTTCCTTCCTACAGGTATACTCCTAATGAGGGCGTCGATCCGAGAATTGACGAAGCAATCATTGACTTGTTAACGAATAGTCGAGACCAAGGAGTGAATGACCAACGCTCCGATGTTGTCATAACTCCCAAGAATTCTGCCGGATTTTGTATGTTTCTAAACATTTCAACTTTAGTGAGTAGTCATGCCACAGTGGTCGAAATTGAAAATTATTAGGTTCGATAGAGGAAATCTGTGTTGAGGAGGAATCGTCGCTAGTGATTATACAACTGCAGGCGGAACGATTGAAAGACAAAGCCGCTCGTCGAGAAACCGTGAACAAACCTTAATGAAAATAATTGAGAATGCCACGGCTTTTCATGATCTTTTTTGTTTTCCGTGAAAGCAAAGTAAATCCTCTAGTTGGACCTCTTAACAGTGCTCGAGTGAGCACTCCGAAATTTTCGGTGTTCCTCTCAATTTTTGAACGGAAGGAGGATTGTGTGTAGTAAGTTAGCTATTCATCTCCACTGCATAGAGTTTTCAAACTTTTGGAGTTATCATTATAGCTTTTTTCAATTAAAATCTCAGTCCATAAAAATCGAGATCTCGAATCATTAATATGAGCTTGTCTTCGTGTGAGGTTTGTCTTTGTTTTTTGATTTCTTCTCATCTCATTCTTCTTTCATGCAGTAATATGTGCCTCAGTTGACTTCGTGTCTGTAATAAATTTTCTGAATTCAAGATATTCCTTCCAGATTTAGATATGATCTAGGAAATGATCTGAGAGAAAAGCTTAGTATTTCATTCTTTGTTCATCCCACTGAATCTTACTGACTTTATTGCTTCTATCCCATCCATTTATTTGTTCGACAAATTTTACTGGTCTAAATCGATATAATTATAATCAAAATAAGTCCTGAACGGTGCATTTGTGTTTTAGTAAAGCTTTTCGAGTTCAGGTCATGTTCTGACATAATCAGTGAGTAACTTTTATTTTACCACTTATTGGACTATTGCGACTGTGTGTTGTGTTCTGAGTTCTCGTATTAGTTACCAGTCTTCCCACAAATGGGGACATGTTGGGCTTGGAATTGAACAATACTATGCGAGCAATTTGTGCTATTAACTATACGTTAGCGTCAAGTATGCATTGCTTAGGATGTACACAGGTTGGATTTGGTCTCGGCGACGGTATATATAAATATAACACTTGTATCACCTGTGATCCCGTTGATCGTGGAGTGACTTGAGTGGGCGCCAGTAAGTTTTCCATTTTTCCCTGTTGCGTGGAAGAGTAGCCCAGTGGGTTCTGCTCGCTATAGGTGCTCTTTGAGCAACCATCGGATCAGTGCTCTTCCTATAGTGCGTTTAACATCCCAAGGAATCCATTCATTAACGGCAGTGGTCTATTGGTTATCGTTCATACGCATTATATATCCGTCCCCCGTATCTACGACAGGTTGGTGTATAGACAGCGTTTTTGAATCTGATCGCTGTCACTGGTTGGGGCATATGATCTTTTCTCTCGTTTGTGTGACGTTGAATAATACTCCTGGCATCGTTTTTTTGATTGCGCGTTTAATAATGCTGAGTGCTCTCTCATCCTGCTCGCGCAGCTACCAGGTTTCTCATGCATACGTTAGGGAATGGAAGTGGAGTGGAATGGTGGAGTTAGAAAGGTGGACACGGAGTGTAGTGTTCTTTGTTCTCATCACTACATCCTCGATGTTTTTCAAAATCTCTCGAAGATCAATCATTTCACGGGTTTTATCAAAGTCGGAAAGCGTTTGTTTTGCTATGCCAATATTTGGTGCTATAAGGAAGATGTCAGAAGTGTGAAGTAGCAGAGATTGAATGCATATTTTATTTTAAGTTAATCTACTTCCCTATTAACATGCATCAGTGGTAAAGTGGGCTACGATGACGTTGTAGCACGAGAACTAGGTAGACACTGCAATAGTTTGCTTAATTAGGACTGTTGTGTAGTTTTGGTTTCGTCGAAACTCGCTTTAGATACCATTCAATGTGAGTGTGTTTAACGCTTACAAAACTCATTTCGCATCTGCAAAAAGACGGCGTCAATGTTATGTCCACTTCCTTCAGCTTATCCACTTTTCATATTACTGAAAAAGCTGACCTCATGTTGTGTACCAGATCGGTTTTCCACCAGACATTTTTGGAGTATTGCAACTTAAGATTGTTGAACTCTTCATTTCCACTTTTAATCCCAGTATCAGAAAAAACCGTTTTATGGATTCTGCTACCCAATCGCCAACAGATATGAGCTTTTAAGCTGACATACAGCGAAGCAACCAGGAGAAACAGGCTCGGAAATAAGTAGAATGTCGTGAAAATGCGGTTAACTTTATGCTCTCACAGATAACCGACCAATAAGCGTTGGTGTGACTGAGCAAATTATCTGCAACTAAACTAAAGAGGGTTAAAATGATTGAATTAGCCGTCATCAATGGTCAGATAAGGGCAGTTGATAGGAGAATTATATGAAGAAGGATTGAGGATCATCTTGTCTCTGAACAAACTTCATAATTGGCCTACTTAGCGAAAGAATTGCGTTTTGTATCAAATGTTGGTAGGCAGATCCTCTAGTTATTAGATTTTTTAATGATAGGTCGACTTGACAGATTGTCATCGGACTCGAAGAGTTCGCTAAAAAGATTTGTTTAGCAAGATTGCGTACACTGAATGGATCGTCGGACATACAACAGAGGCTGAAAATTTCCAGGATCTTTAGAAATATGAAATCTGTCCCCGATAAAGTGATCACCTTAGTTTCGAAATTTTGGAATCGTAAAAATGCTTCTATTATCTTCGTATTCTTGTTGAGCAAACGCGAGGTTTTATTTTTATTCTTTATTCACGAATAAGCTGACGTTTCGGTGGATTTCCCCTTCCTCAGAGCCTGGAAAGGTCAAATTGACAGCGATCTATCCGGCCAAACACCTCAATAACCAAATAAAGAAAACGCTAAACCAAGATTTCAATCAGATTATGCACAACTTTGCACACTCACCACTTTCTATGAGTCTTCCACTGAGTATGTCGTGTGAAGACCAACCGCACAGAATTTTCACATGGAAGCGTAATGTGCCCCTCCCATCAGAATAGCTGTCTTATATACTGCCCAATATCACGTGTGATACTGAGGCATTCTTCCCTGCGGTTTATATTCGGTTTTCTGGAATTAATCCAGAACGCCTCGAGAGTTTTCGCGCTTGTGTTCTCGATTCCTGTGCGAGGATCGTGACACCTACTTCAAAGTCCTCCCCGTTTTTTCTCTGGGTCCTATGCGTGTCTAGTGGGGTATTTGGTTTACGTCTGCCGACTAGGTGTTTTTTTTATGCGGACGCAGAATGGTCTACCCATGTCTTGGAATCAACTCTGAAGAGAAACGAAGATGTTGTGATGGCTACTAGAAGTCATTAGAATAAATTCACGAATCAGCACTTGCTGGTGCATGTTCCAATTTGATGAACACCATATGCAGTCAATGCAATAAATACTTCTGCCTAGAATTACTCAGCAATCTTTGTTAGAAGCACTCAGTATAGAAGTTTTAGGTTGCAAAGATTGTAAATTCTACGGGGAATGTGTAAGCTATAAAGGTCACCGACTACTAATTCTACTTTTTCTTTGTTTTTAATTACATGGCCCGATATCACGCGTGCCGCACTGTGAGGATCCCAGCCCTTCTTTTATTCGAGTCGTTTCCTGGCATGCAGTATTCACGAAGCTCTTGGAAATTTTTCAAGTGGGTTTGGCTGCGACTTGAGGATATTTTCGCATTCGCCAAAAACGTTGTTTAATGATGGCTATGTGGATGCTCCCTGGAATCCTGAGATAACCGCGCTGGGTGTCCCCACCCAAATGAAACCAGAGGCTGTACCTACATAGGTTGTAAGTTGTGATGATTACCAAAGTGCATAGGACGTTTGAGATCGAGAAGATTGTGTACAATACGCAAACAACCCCCATTGCAAGAGTTTTGAACGGTCAATATGCGTTTTATATTTATAACATTAGCCGAATATAAAGAACAAAAGATTAAGAAATAGGCTACAATATGTGGAAAATATATAGATGGACGTTTGGCCCCTCTACAAACAAGTAGTTTTGGGGACACCTAACATACAAGTCTACAAACCATCCACAGAAGTATTACTTATTCAGAATCTCATTGTAGCGAAAAAACACATCTAAGTGACGTACTGTAGTACTGAAGCGCACCGGAGAGGTCTCTATTCTCTCATCGACGGCTACGTTCTCTTCATCCGCCGCCCTCTGCGCCATTAGTAACGGCATGTGGCCCTGGTGGACAAAATCCTCCTTGTTACTTTGCTTTCATCTTTGAAACATGAGCATTAACGAAGTAGGGTGGAAGAACAGTATCTTAGAGGTTCCACGAAACCAAAATTTCATCGTAGCACAACGAAAGAATTTATCTTGTTCGGGCGAAAATTTGAAGATTCCGACATTTGTGTCGCAAACAATGAAATTCGCTACGACCTGAGAAACGGTAACTGAAAATTGAAAAGTGACATTGATGTCGAATCGCATGACTGTCACGCCGTCGCGTAAGTGTTAATGAGTCCTTGCTGAAAGAGATGGTGAGAGGGAGAGAGAGGGAGAGAGAGGAAGAGAGAGGGGGATGGAGAGATGCAGAGAGTAGGCTTCCACTGGATTCATCCAATACATACCCCATAAGAAGAAAAATGTATAAGCCTTGAAGAAACTATAGTGTGATATATTAATATTCGTGTTTAAAAAGAATAGAGTTACGGATTGCTATCACTAGAATATATGATTGTTTTATGAGCTCAGTTAAGTAATTTCTATGAAAATTACAGAATCACCCAGGCTACTACGTAACATTTACAAACCAATAGCGCAATACTCTTTACTGTGTCGTTTTCTTGTTCAGCAATCGCGAGGTTTTTAAACAGCATACATTTACTTCCATAAAAACACAATACAATA